ATATATATAACAAATCTCTATGGGTTCGATGAGATGGTGCAGCAGCCCCTTCCGTAAACGGTGAGAGTGAACGTTTTGAGGGTCTTGTCTATCCCAGATGTCCTTTCCAGAAAACTAGCAGAGAGACTTTGTTGAACATCAGGACAATGAACGTCGCTAAAATTGTGGCGGCCACTTGTGATTTGGACATTCTACAACAACACAGAGTCCGATCAGAGACTATGCCGGCGTGTGTGTGTGTGTGTGGCGTTCTACGTTTGACGTTGACTGTATTGGGATGCTCGTACTGTGTAGTACTGTAGTGTGAATACTTGAACACAAGCCAGAGACCGTTGCAAGGCGTTGCTCTTCCTGCAATCAGTGGAAATTCCCAGTCAGTAGCTCCAACTTGTCCACATTCCCATGTTCACTCCCTTTCCGACCGTTGAAACTGGGCGTAAACAACGTGTGTTAACTTGAATAAGCTGACACAGGCTGTGAGCAGTTTCACTTCTTTAAAAAGCATAAACTCATTCAGTTGCTGCTGCTCAGAGGGGAAAATGGCGCAAAAAGAAGTTGAGCTGGATCCAGAGAAACTCTCTTGTTCTATCTGTGTTGATCAACTGAAGGATCCGGTGACTATTCCCTGTGGACACAGATACTGCATGAAGTGTATTGAAAGCCACTGGGATCGAGAAGACGAGAATGTAATCTACAGCTGTCCTCAGTGCAGGGAGACTTTCACACCGAGACCTGTCCTAGGGAAAAGAATCTTGTTAACAGAGATTGTGGAGGAGCCGAATAAGACTGGACACCAAGCTGCTGATTACTGCTATGCTGGAGCTGAAGATGTAACCTGTGATGTCTGCACTGGGAGGAAGAGGAAGGCTGTCAAGTCATGTTTAGTCTGTCTGGCCTCTTACTGTGAAAAAGACGTTCAGCCTCACTATGAGGCTCCAGCTTTTAAGAAACACAAGCTGGTGGAGCCCAAGAACCTCCAGGAGAACATCTGCTCTTGTCACGATGAGGTGATGAAGATATTCTGTCGCACTGATCAGCAGTTGATCTGTTATCTCTGCGCAATGGATGAACATAGAGGCCACAACAAGGTCTCAGCTGCAGCAGAAAGGACCGAGAGGCAGAGAGAGCTGGAGGTGAGTCGACAAAACATCCAGCAGAGAACCCAGGACAGAGAGAAAGATGTGAAGCTGCTTCAACAGGAGCTGGAAAACATCGATAGCTCTGCTTATAAAGCAGTGGAGGACAGTGAGAAGATGTTCACAAAGATGATCCGTGTCATCAAGAAAAAATGCTGTGATGTGAAGAAGCAGATCAGCTCCCAGCATGAGACTGAAAAGAGTCGAGTCCAAGAGGTTGTGAAAGAGCTGAAGCAGGAGATCACTGAGTTGAAGAGCAAAGATGCTGAGATGAAGCAGCTGTTAGACACAGAAGATCACAACCAGTTTCTGCACAACTACCCCTTGGTGCCAGAAGTCAGTGAGTCCAAACACTCATCCCGCATCAACATCTGTCCTCAGACCTACTTTGAGGAGTTGACAGCATCTGTGTCAGAGGTCAAAGACAAAGTACAGAAGATTCTGAGGGATGGATGGACACACAATCCACCGAAGCCAAAGACCAGAGCTGAATTCCTGAAATATTCATGCGACATCACTCTGGATCCAAACACGACAAACACACAGCTGGTGTCTGACGGAGACAGAAAAGTAAAGGCGGTGAGACAACTTCAGTCTTATCCTGATCATTCAGACAGATTCACTGATTATCGTCAGGTCCTGAGCAGAGAGAGTCTGACTGAACGTTGTTACTGGGAGGTGGAGCTGAGAGGGCTGGGAGCTGCTGTGGCGGTTTCATACAAGGATATCAGCAGAGCAGCATCTGAAAGTGAGTTTGGATCCACTGACAAATCTTGGGCTTTACAGTGCTACAAAGACAGTTGGGCATTTTTGTTCAACAACGCTAAAACTTCCATCCCAGTTCCTCAGTCCTCCAGAATCGGAGTGTACCTGGATTACAGTGAAGGTATTCTGTCCTTCTACAGCGTCTCTGAAACCATGACTCTCCTTCACAAAGTCCAGACCAAATTCAATCAGCCACTACATGCCGGACTAAACCTTGTGTATTTTGGATCCAGTGCTGAGTTCTTTGAACCCAAATAGACCAAAATACAGCTGATCTGGTTTCCATCATTGTACACTGTAAAACATGAAGGTTGT